GGCAGCGGGCTGTCCTTCGCGGAGCCGCCGCCGCTGCTGATTGGCTGCCGCCCGTCCCCCGGCCTGGCCCGAACTTGAGCGGTCCCTCGGAGAGGGGGGAGCGGGTTCGACTCCCGCTCCGGCAAGAACAGGACGGGACCGACACGACACCCCTGCGTCCCGCCACGGTCGTGACGAGTGACCCACGTTGGAGAAAGAGCTCACAAACCGCTCAAACAAGTATTTCCAAAGTAATTTTCCCAGAGGAAGTCAGCTGGGTCACCCTAGGTCACCTCCCTACTCCGCAGTGACCGTTAATGTTTCACTTGCCCAGTACAAATTCCCCGAGGAGTCAGCGAGACGTGTGGGGTCAGCAGAGCCCTCGGGAAGCATTTTGATACTGGACTAGCATGGTGACATGTGACTATTCCAATAGCACGCTGATAAAGATGGGACAGTCAACGACACCCGGCAGACTGTGGGATTTCTCCTGCATCAGTATTTCCAGCTGTAGGACCAGGTACAATAAATTCCTCACATACTGGGAGCCATACCGACCTACTGGAACCACAGCAGCTCCTTAGCTGCCTTTGCCAGAGCCCCGACAAGTTGCAGCGTGTTTTGGTATGTCCCTGACAGGGAGGTGCTTCCCATCTCCGTTCCTGCACCGCAGTCCCCCGGCAACCCTCCCTTCCTTCAATCCTGCTCCTCCACCAAAACCTAGGCAAGATTTTAAGGATCTCCTCCCACCCCAATTCCCTCCTCATCCCAGCTCCAAAATATCCAACTACGGAAGGAAGGTTTCTCTCTTGCACATGATGGGAGCCAGCAACACAAAGGCATGTGGCCTCTGCTATGTGTGAAGGAAGGATGCAGAGGAGATGGAGCAGCCTTGATGGACACATTAATGCAGCTGCCTGGTAGCAAAACGGTCCGGATTTGGGGACACACACACCATGGTTCGGTTTTGCCAGACCACAGGATTGATTAGCCTACACTTAAAATCCCAGTCACAAAAGCCATGAGTAAAAACCACCACTTTTGACAGTGTTGCAGCACAATCCTGTATTTTCTTTCCATTTGAAGCATCTAAACCAACCAACCAAAAACCAAACCCCAAATCACTCAGCTTCTTTAGGCCACAGGCAGTGATGCAGGATTAGGATGATTCACCTTGAAAGCAGAACAGATGTTCCCTGTATCTTGATAGGACATGAGGAAACATCAGCAGAGCAGGTCCAGCAGCCAGTTAATACACTTCAACTGAGGACAACCTGGAGCTGCCTGTTACATTTTTTTTTAAATGCGTTGTAAACTTGGCAAGAAAACTTAAGGGCTAGGTACCCTTAAGCGAACTGCCATCGTTATAATACTAAAAATCATGCCTATTGATCAAAACACCCTTAGCCATGTGAGGACCCTTCCCCTAAGCATGCGCAACAGCAGGCACAATGAGTAAGCAAATTACAACTGTGTGTAAATTACTAACTAGTCGGTTTAAGAGGGATTTCCTTGGGATGATTACTGAGTGTGTAAAGGCGGTTTGGAAAGTCAGGAGCGTGTGCTTGATTTGTAGGAAATAGCCACAGCCTTGGAATCTCTATTCCACAGCTATAGCAGTCTTGAGCCTATTTCATTCCTATACGCAATTGCCTAAATGGGCACTGCCTTTTGCAAATAGTGCTTTTCTCTCTGCTCTGTAAGCCTGGAAATGCAATTTTAAAATCTGACAGTAGCTGAGCAAACATCACCTGACACTTCTGCATGATCTTACATATAGGACCTCTTGGAGTATCAACTCCAAGAACCAGAAATCAACACTGAAAAAGCTTTTGAATTTCAGGAAGTTACACGCTGTGACACTGAAATGAGGTACAGTGGATTTCTCAAAGACTTCTGTGTGCCGTCAGCACACAGACGCCAAGCAACCCATGTCACTTATCTCCTGCAGGAGCAGGAATTTCCCAGCTCACTCTGTAGCACAACCACAGCTCTGTGACACTGTTCTGATTAATCTCATATTCAAGGGTTTTTGTCTCACTGCATCTATCGGGCTTAGATATATTGAGTTCACTCATTACCTTCTAGCAACCTCTGAGCAGAGTGACTTACGTTCATATGAGTTTCAGAAATCTTGAGTTTTCCTAACTGAGCCTTCTGGAAGGCCCCAAATAACATCCCCTGCATTGCTCTTGTTTTTGTTGCAGACTGTACAGGAGGATGAGTTCTTCCAACGTGTCAGGAACTTTGCTCATGAATGAAAAAGGAAGCACATAAAAAAGACAAGGAGCATGCACATGATCTAGCAAAAAACATTTTATGCTTATTCTTATGAGAAGCAGTTCTGAATCAGCCAACTATAAAAACTTAATTTAGATGTGAATTTTAAAAAAATGATCAGATGAAAGATTTTATTTGGACTTTATTTGGATGGATTAGCACCATCATTTTGTTTCAGTGCACTGTTCACCGCGTAGTCCCTTCCAGCACATGAATCTCCAGGCACACAAAGTGCTGACAACAGGAAAACGTTGTTACAAGGTTTTTTTCCTGCACTTCTGAAATCCACACTGACAGGAAACCTCTGTCTCCGGCAAGCTCCCAGCTTCATAACCGTAGTCCCACGTGAGTTCTGTGCCGGCTTTCACGTGCCTAAGAAATAAAACACTTGGTCAACTTGCTTGGACAAACTGAAAGAGCAGCGTGCTTAAAATTTGCCAGTGACAACTCGCATGCAGACCCCAAACTAGGAGGCACGAGGACGCTGTGCAGGCAGCTTGCAGGGGAGAGCCAGGGCATGCAAGGAGCTGCTTTGCCTACCAAAGCTACAGGGAGTGTAAACGAGAAAATAACTTTATCAAGCAATGCCATACAGTCAGTCTAAATAACCTGTTCTAACCTCCAGGTAAATTCTGGGGAACATACACGTGCTCAGAAAATGAACATATAGCAGTGAATACAAAGAAATGAGAATACAACCAGTTTCTTTCTGTTCACTATGTCACCAGCTAAGTCTAAACAGATCCATAGATACACTGGTGATGAAGATACTCTCTCTGGTGTGACAGGTTCCAATTTAATGGAATTTCACTGTTTCTGTGCACAAAGCCCAAGATTCAAAGTAAACACGTGCTCCTCATACCCCTTCTATGGACCAACCACTATGACAAAAATGGAAGAGAAGTAATTTCTTATGCAGGAAATTCTCTGAAATGAACACCAAATTAAATACTTGCAACTAGGATGCATCAATTTGAGACCTGGACAACTGAGGGAAGATACAATAAAATATGAATATTACAAAGAAGGAAGCTATTATCTGGTATTTCTCACAGGATAAACATAAGGGATAGCCAGTGAATTATCAGTCAGCAGGCTAAGAACAAACAAAAAGAGGAGTGCGAACAGCACAGAATTGCAGTATGGGACTTGCTGCCTTAGGTTGTTCTGGGGGACAAAAAGGTCAAGCAGATGAAAAGGGACCAGGTAAGTCATAGATGATGCAACATTAAGCTTGAGGATCCAGATGCAGTCCTTAATGTAGACAACTTCTGAATAGCTGATTGCTAGAAAGCAAGAGGGCAAGCCAGAAAAGCATTCCCTTCAGTAAAATCTCGTCTTCTTCAGTCTCTTATGCAGGCCTTTTTTGCATCTCTTCAATTGCCTCCAGCCTCATCATATGTTTCTTTATTTTATCAATGAAGAGACTCCAGCAAAAACAAAATCTTTTTGTGATATATTTCAAAACACTGACTTCAGAGGCCTCTGAACTGCTCCTTACAGGGCAATCCCAGTGCACCTGGGTTAGCATGGGACCTCCATGGGAGGCTCTCCAGACCATCAGTGTTCCCTGGAGCCCATTTGTCTCCAGTTCTTTGGAAAGTCTCTACTTCCCTTCACGTAATCCACAGAGGTAAGCCTCACATCTCAAGCTTCTAGAGAAAGTTTGCCTTTCAGTGCAAAACTGAAGAAAACTCATTAGCAATAACAACCACTCATGTATTCCTCGAGTCACCAACAAGAACATAGTTTTTTATGTATTCCTGACCCAAACATATGTCTACTTTGCATATTTTTTCCTAATAGTTAAGAAGTGCTTTTTTCCCCCCTAGTGCCTTGAATAAACAATATCAAAAAAAATTATAATTCACCTGTTTGTGAAGAACGCCACCCATGGGAAACTTCTGTTGTGAGTCTCTACAAAAACACTCTGTGCAAAGAGATTTGGGCAGCAGCTGTGCTGTGAAACAGAATGTTTGGATTAAAAACAATGGGACACACAGATTCTTCAGGCAAAGACTATTTTGTGTTAGACATCTGCCACTATTAAAGGTAGTTCATTCCACCTCTTCTTCAATTATCAACAACAAAATCTCTATTACTCAATATCACAACCATTGATTTGTGCTATGACTATCTAAAATATTATCTGTCATTTTATGGAAACACTTTTGCCTAGAAAAATCAAGTTCTTTTTCTCAAGCTGTTCTCCAATAATCTCTGGTGAGAATTTTTCCTCCCCTGTTGCAGGATGCATCACAGACAATCATTAAGTGACAGACATACCACAGTGTCATTCAGCAGAGCAACCCTAGGGAGCTCTAGGGCGATAGGTGAAATGACTGTGGATTTTGGCAAATGGGTATGAGATGCTAAAGGTCACTCAGCTGTGTGTAGGAGCATGTGATGGTTATAGGTGCAGAAGAAAGGTTGGAGAAAGATGGACCACTAATGGCCATCCTACCTCTGCAATGAGAAATAGCATAAACTATACAAGAATTTTGCTGGGAGATATACACATATTAATGTCAACGGAGAGAAAAATCAAAGTGCAAAGTACATATGGAATATCCGCATTTATTGGGAGTTCTTGGGAATTTGTTACTATTTTTGTCAACTCAAAATTGAGAGACATTTCCTAAGCAGGTATCTACACAGTAGCAAGACCACCTTCTCAACCCTTGCTAGAACTTCAGGGAAATTGCCTATGATACCACACATTTCACCATGGTTTGGAAACAAAAAGTGAAGCAGGGAGGAAACAAGTGGTTCACTAAAATGTGCCACCTGCTCTCTGGACTACCATAGAAAGCCACCCAAACTTCAGGACAGAGATGTCACTTGCAGATACTCTTGTCCTGGGTGGCAAACACTACTCCCATTACCCACTACACGTCTTAGAGCCCGCATGGCCCAACTGGCTGCTCTGTGACTTCAGCATGAAGGGAGCCCCACATCACCTGCCTTGACCTGTGCCCAACACACGGCATTGCAAGGACAGACTTTTACAACAAGTTTCAGGTTTATGCAGATGCACCATTTATGTATTTAAGCCAACACAACTAAGAGAACACCTGCAACTTTTTACTTACATTAAGAAAACGACCCACATTTCCTTCTTTTGTGGCATCCAGTACATAAATATTTTCGTCATTCGCATTCTTCAGAAGTGCCTTGTCATCATCAGCCTCCTCACAAAATGCCTTTTGTTTTGACTGCCTGCATCTTTCCTCTGCGCAGTCAGCTTTTTGCGGCACGTTTTTGGACTGCCTCACAGCATGAGCATCATCCAGCACAGCTGACGGGCCACAGGCAGCACCCTCCTGAGACAGGGGCTTCCCTTTGCCTTCTGCACCATCCTCACCAGCGAGTTCCATCTCTCCAGTTTGCATCGGATACTCTTCCTTCTGCTGCTCATCAGACTCTGTTAATATAAAAGCTGCTTTTCAGTATCAGTTTAAAGCAAGTCAACTGTGACTTTCGAGCCCAAAGCTTTTCCCTTGCTTGGCTCTAAACTCTTACCCACCCACTTTCCTGTTCTCTAAAATGTATGAAGCTTCCTTGCTATTTACAAGGCCTAAAACAGCTCTGTCCTTTTGCACCTCTCATCACTCGCTGCTGCAATGCCAGAGTACTTGCTCAAGTCCCATGCGAGTTAACTAGTCTCTCCCTTTCAAATCCCACTCCATACTGATTTCTTCCACATGACATTTTATCTCCCTCCTTCACCTTTAATTTCATCCTGGAGAATCACAAACCGTAATTAAGACAGAAATAAGACACACGTGCAAACAGCATCAGTTTTACACACCCTTTCCTGGTTCAGCCCACTGCGCTCCTGCCTCTGTGACTGGAACCTGTTCTATTTTTGCCATCTGGAGCAAGAACTGGATATGGCAATAACATTTTGCAAGACTGACTTTTCCAGAATTGTACTTTATTTGAGAAACTGTTCTCATCACTGTCCAGTATGTCCTAAGATCAAATCTCCAGACAAGAGACTGCCCTGTAGAAGTTAATGCACTGCAATACGCAAGGCAGAATTAATTTCTGCACTGCTCAAGTTTGGCAAGGCAGCCTGAGTGTTAGATGGGGACATCACCATCATCATCATCACTATGTGGGGAACAGACCCGCACACACCCCAACATCACTGTCTGCATTTCACGTCTATCGCCTGATGGGGCACAAACACACACAGAGTGCTGTATTTATAGTTCTGCAACCTACTTTCTTTTCCTTTTTTTGTTCCAGAGGTGAGTTTTGTTGTGCTTGACTGGTGAGGCTGATAACTGTTATCTTCATCTGAGCTGGCGCTGTGCACCAAGGTATCAACTTCCTGTAAGGAGAACGAAAGCTAAGGAAAAGGCTGGGATTATCCTGTGGCTGTTTGTAGCCTGGGGTCGAAGTGGGAAAGCGTCAGGATTTTAGGGCTCTGGGGTTAAAGTTTGAAACCTACTGTAAGGCATGGATATGACTGAGTTTCAAAAGCCCAAACACTCACTGCAGTATAAGAAACATCTTAAAATTAAGTTATCATTCTAAATAGTCTGGAAGGAGGTCCCCACTCAGTGAAATATTTAAATAAGTGCTTAATTCCCCGTGACTTCACAGGATTTTCACACAGGCTTACATCAGTAGCTGAACTAAAGCCCAAACAAGCTATTTACAAAGTTTCAATAAAACAAACAGAAGTGACAAGATTTTTCCTTTCTCACTCCTCAAAACAGGCAATTATGGGAGCTCCAGAAAGGACAGCACTGTTGACTGTTCACAGGGAAGCCTGATGCACATTCCTTAAGTGCAGCACAACCCACAGACTGAATTTACCAGTTTCCCTCCTCTCCACATATTTCCAGGTAACACAAATTCTCCCAACTCTGTCACTGCATTAGATAACTGCATCCAACTTCTGAAGTTTTCTTCTTTTCTCTCCCTGCTATGTCATTCTTTGGGGAGACATTAGGAAAATATTATCACTCAAGTGTCCCCATCAATGCAATCAGCTACAATGGGGGACAGAGATGATGTTTTCCAGAGACTCTTGCAACTGGAGTGGAAGCAAAGAGCGAAGTGGAAGCAAGGAAGGATGTGGGAAGAATTAGGTTCTTGGGCAACATGTTGGAGGACCAATAATGTCAAAGGGATGGGATACAGCTCCCAACACACCAGCATAGCTTGCAGCATCACACAGTCTCAAGAAGAAAGTTCATTACCATTTTCAAAACATATATGATAAAAAGGTTAAAATTAGCATATAAATTCAGCACAGTGAAAATGATTCTATTCAAGTCACTCATTATTATTACCATTTCTAGCTGGCAGTTGTGAAGAACAGCTATTCTAGATCCAGACCTTCTCGTGCCTGCTATATTCAGATTCCCTGGACAAACCCTGTACAGAAAGATCAAAACTAAATTACAGAATACAGAGACCCATAAGTAACTCTTGCAACACACTTCTCTAATAGACTTCCATTCATAAAGAAACTACATCCAACCTTGCAGTCTTGGGTCACTCCAAGTTCTGCAACTACTTGACTTTAAGAATTGAGGAAACAGGTTCTCAAAAGTATCTATAAACAAACATACAAACAAACAAACCCCACAGTGCATCACAGTAAGATACTGGCAGAAGCTTTTATATCTTTCCCAGTTCTCATTCTCAGACTCAAATTCTATCCTGTCTTGGTAACCTGATTATTTTATCAGCTCATCTCAGCATACAGAAGCTCAGATAGAATTTTACTTTTTTTTCTGCGATTGATTTCAACAGTTTTGACACTGTAAGTTTCTAACAGGAAAACAAAACAAACGTTGCTGGATCGAAGGATGTAGAGGCAGACATAGGAAGAGAGAGTGAATGTGTAATAGAAATCAAAAACAGTTCAGCACGAAATATATATTTTTTTTATATCAGGGAAAGGTTGAGATAGAACCAGATATTGCTTCTCATTCTAAGAAACATGTATTTTCAAGACATCAAAGTCACATTCACTTTGATTGTTTAGAGTGTTGAAGAAACTACTAACTTCACCCACAATGAGAATCTGTACGATGTCTAGCAATAAGTAATAACTCTTACTCAAGAAAACTTATAACCTAATACATTTATATGCATTTCTTTGCCCTATAAAACATCACGGTATTTCCTTGGGCTACTGATAACAGGAAAAATGCTACTCTAAGGCTTCCTGAAAATTGAAACCAACTGTTCACATTCAGAAGCTGCAGTGCTCATCAGAAATTGTGACATTCTTACATGATTATATTTATTTTGTCCTTTCAAAGGCAACCTGGATGGGTGAATGACATTTAAGGGTAAGCACATGGGTGTAGTCTCAAAGGCTTTTCAGATCTGTTGCATTACTACTTCTTAAAAGGCAGAGTAACAAAGGCCTTTTTGTTTATAGCATTCTTATACATTCCACACTTCAAACATTTTTATCCTCAAGAGGGGGAATTCATGAGACTTAAGGCAGCAGTGTGATAAACAGCTGTACTTCCCTGTAAATTATGTTAAAAGAACTTAGCAGAAGTCAAATCTAGATAATTGAGGATAATCATGTAATTTACAAAATGATTAATTTGTTAGCTTTGCAAGACACTGAAATCAAAATCTGTAAAGCTCCTCTAAAATAAACACCTTTCAGTGCAACTAGCAATTTGAGAATAACAGAAAAATAAAAGTTTGTAGATACTACCTGTCTTCCTGATGTGCTCTAACCTTCTCTCTGACCCTCGAGTGCAACCTTGCAAAAGCCTCCCTCTTCCAGTGCTTGCTGCCTGGAGTCAGTCTTACTGTAGCTCCTCACCGAGTTTCACCTCTCAAGTGAAAATACACACCTGGTCATTGCCTTGCTATGATTTAAAATTCTACATTCTTCATATCCACTTTTTTTCCTAATAAGAGTTTCTATGCTCTAAAAAGATACTGGTAAGTATTTCAGAAAGTTTCAGGCTGCAATTTCATGGTGCTTCTCACGGATTCACAGAATGCTCTTATATAAGATTAGCAAAACTTGCAGTTGTTTATGGATGGTAAAAAGAAAGTCTTTACAAAGCCACATGGTAGAGCAAGGAATAAAATTCAGGAAAATTCCCCCTTTCTTTGGAGAGGGCTGCACAAAGCTATTCACAAAACCATCCAGGTTGTTTTATGGGCTTTTATATGTTAGGAATTGGAGCTAGGAGGCCCTGAACATAAAATGAAAACAGGATTACAGCTTTTACATAATTCACTGCAAAAGCAAACTGTTGTTAAGACTCTAGCTAGGAAAGAACAGAAGATTTAGAGATGGGAAGCAAAAGACATGACTGTTACCGGCTACTTTATAATCAAACCCTTCAGTGTCATGAAGTATTTTTAAATTATTTCTTTTCAAATTAGCATGATGATTCATGCCCTGACAAGTGCACCAAGGAGATGAATGAGATTCTCAAAAAATGGCAAGTGATACGATTAGGGAAATTAATTTATATGAATAACTGGGTCCCACTAGAAAAAAAAAACAGGTATTAAAAAAATAAATAAAAAAGGCTTAGGAAAAAGAGCCCACACGCCCTGACAAGCACACCGAGGAGATGAATGAGATTCCCCAAAAATAGCAAGTGATACATACGATAAGGGAAATTAATTTATAGGAATAACCGGGTCCCACTAGAAAAAAAAAAAACAGGTATTAAAAAAAAAAAGGCTTAGGAAAAAGAGCCCACAGCTGAGGACTGTAAGTTCTACTGTAAGTTTTACAAAAGACTTTCTAGAAGAGCAGCATGCAAAAGTTGCTTGTGCAGCTATGCTTATGTTTCCTCTGGTAAACTTACACAGTTGATTTATTTTCATCTGTCACAGTCTGAGACAAAGACTCCTGCTTCTCAAGAACGTGATCTTTGTCAGTCTGCACTAGTTCAACCTCAGAGTCTGAACAACCACTGTCAAGTTTTCTTTTTTTTGGAAAAAAGCTGTGCCCTCTGTCATTCACAGCCCCTTGCTCTTTCAGCTCTTGATCAGCACCTCGCAATACTTGAACTTCAGCTCTACTCATTAATCTGCCTGGAATAAAAGAGAGAAGTCTTCTTTTAGTTTGCTTGTTTGCTAAGAAGCTAAGTATGTTAAGTCACAGTTACTATTTCAGCACAAATCAACATTAAGGAATGGCATGGTTTGGAAAAGCAAAATATGAACACGTTTATAACAAAGGGAGGCAAAGTCCTTGCACAGGATTCGCAGACTTGTAAGGGAAAAATCAAAAGTCTGAGACAGGCTTTGCTCCAGAATTGTTTCAATGCCTGGCTGGCACCACCATGCTGCAGAGTTCTTCAAGGTTCTTCTATCCTTTTGAGCACCTGCAAGTCAAGATTATACTGACTCACGTTTAACACTAAAGTATTTCCCTGTTGGGTTCCCAAAAAAAAAATCCAGGGCATATCCTACAGTGCCCACAGAAGAAGAATTGTACAATAAACTCCCGCGTGTCAACTTCAGTTACCTGCATAAGTACAAACAAACGTGCCCTTATCGATATCGTCCAGGCAGCGGACACCCCAGCCCTTCTTCTCTGTGTTGAACACTTGCAACCGAACTTGGATGCCGTGCTGCACAACTCTGTTCTGACACATCATTTTGTCACACTTGCATGACACACTACACTCATAAATTCTGTCAAAAGAAAAAAAAATACCCACAGTATTAAACAATGCACTACCAGAACAATGGTGCTATTATTAATTTCTACCCTGAGCAGAAATAAAGCAGATCACTGAAAAGACAAAGATCCAAGCTGTAATTGATTGGGTGTAGTGTACTGGAACTCAGGACTTCCTTGATTCTTGACTCACCAATTTTAAGATACTGACAGACACATTTGGTGCAAGTAGAGATGAAAAATAAATGTTACCTTTCATTTTATAGGTGGAAATCACGAAATGCAGAAATCTTAGCAGTGCAGTTCTATGCTGGAACAGATTTTAGCAAAGACAGTCTGTCTGTCTGAATTTCATTAGGTGTCACAAGTTTCAGGATTTACCAAATGTTGCTAAAATCATTCATGACTGTACTTTTTTGGGACTTTTTTTCTGGGATGGGCACATTGTTTAGATTCTAGAACAACTTCAAGAGCATCTTTCATTCTATATGCCAAGCATAAGTCAACATCACGCAGCAACAAGAGTAGGAAAAGAGGCTCCTTAAGCCCTTGGCTTCAACCCTTGGCCACTGCAGAAAGTAATCTACAATTCTTCTAACTCTCTAAAGGAACTGCAGCACGCACTGCAATGGTGGCTGCCACTACAGGAGAAACTGGGAGCACTCCTTACTCCTCAAGCTCCATGCACACCCCATCCCAAACCCAGTAAGAGCAGCTGGCTGGTATTTCTTGAGGACTCTGGTTCTACAGAGCAACTGGCTGGTCAGAGTACAAAGCAAAAACAAGAGGCACCTGTTGTTCCCCCTCCTTTTGCTGACCTACATTGTGATGATCTTGTGGCAGGCCTCCCCCCATGCCTCCTTGTACACTGAATGAATGAACACACTACAGGAAAGACAAAATAACAGTATAAATATAAAAGTATACATTTTGTGTTTCTTACCCGCTAGGAACAGGTCCCTCCAGTCTTTTATAATTGTATCCACAAGATGTTTTAGTATTTGGAGATAGAGAAATTTTACTACAGCCTTTTGCGGTTAGCTGCAGACATGCACATTTTGACCTAGAAGATCGACAGTAAAACATCATACAGAAATCTAAATGTATTCAGAGCAGTACAATCATATTTAAATCCAGTTCATTTAAAATGTGACTGCCTCTATGTTTCCTCACCTTGACTCTATCAACACCCTGCCAGTTTCCTTGGTCCTTGCCTGGTCATATGTGCTTTATAACCTATAACTGTGCTTGCTTCCTTTTATTTATTTATTTATTTATTTATTTATTAGCTGTTATGTTTCTCCCCCCTTTTTCCCCTTGTTCTTCTTCCAAGCTCTGTAAAAGGCCCATGCAAACAACTTAACAGGGTCAGACACCAATTACAAACAGGACATGGTCAAATGGATCAGATGAATAAATGAAAAATCACTCGTTCTGGCACAGCACTCCAATTTGGTGGTCTTCATCAGCTTCCTGTCACCCTCTTCCCAAGAGGGGAAGAATTTTACCATGCACATGGCAGAATTCCTACAGTGACATTATCTGCACCATTTTGTCTCACTGCAGCTCCAAAGACTTACAATGTTGGTGTTTTTTTGTTTTTTTTTTTGTTTTTTTTTTTAAAAAAAACAAATAGCAGCTGACCAAAGCCTGACCCCCACAGCTGCACAGGTCAACTTTTGGGAAACCTTAGTGCATGGAGGGAGCCTGCTATGTGCTTGCTGCTCCCTGCTGCTCAGCTGAAACTAAATAACTCAAATTACTGAAGCTTCATTATTCTAGGCAATGATCTCAAGCTTTTGCTGGGCACAGACAATGCTGCAAACCAGCATGTGCAATGGCTCCAGCTGTCGAGAATCTAGCTGGATTCAAAAACAAGGTTACAACTACAGGCAGAGATGGCACTGAAGGCAAACATCCCTCCTGAAAACAGACAAGATTTTCACTAAATTTACAAGAAAGTAACTGTGTCAGCTTCCTCTTAAATAACATGTCATTCAGAGTTCCTAGGCTTTGGAAAAAGACAGCAACGCACAACACCATTTCAATAGGTCACGTGCTCTGTGACCACAGGGCTTCATAGTTTCTGTTTAGGAGACATGGATTGAGATGTTGTGAACAGAGAGGTTTCTCCCTTCACCCTCCCTAACCGTCTATATCTGGAATTATCTCACCTCACCAGGCTGCCCCAACTCAGCTTAAAGTCATAGAATCATTAAGGTTGGAAAGGACCTCTAGAGATCATCTAGTCCAACTCCCCTGCACATGCAGGGTCACCTAGAGCACGTGGCACAGGACGGCATCCAAGGGGGTTTTGAAGATCTCCAGAGGAGATTCCACAACCTCTCTTGGCAACCTCTTCCAGTGTTCCATCACCCTCACTGTTAAAAAAAATTTCCTTAAGTTCCTGTGGAACTTTTGATGCTTCAGTCTGTGGCCGTTACCTCTAGTTCTGTCAGTGGCCACCAGTGAAAAGAGGCCAGCCTCACCCTCTTTACTCCCTCCCTTGAGGTATTTATATACACTGATCAGGTCCCCTCTCAGCCTTCTCGTCTTCAGGCTCCACAGGCCCAGCTCCCTCAGCCTCTCCTCATAGGGCAGATGTTCCAGGCCTCTGATCATCCTTGTAAAATGATCCTAAAAAGGAAGCTGCAGCAGAAGCTGGCATGCAGGATCCTTCCATGCCTGCCAGGAAAATGAGCCTTCCTCAACTTGCCTAAGTGTCCCCTTCACTCCCCCCGCCGCCCCCAAGGCCAAGGTATCTATTTGCCAGCTCTGCTTGGAGGAGAAGAGGCATTGCCAATTCGGGAAGAAAAGGAAAAGAACATAATAATCCATGACTTGGTCACTTCCTTCCCTGTAACTGGTGCAGTATAGTAGCAGCACCCAAGTTTTGCAGAAGTCATAGACATAGCAGTGTCAGTCATCACAGAGTGTGGTACAAGACAGCTACTGCAGGTACCATAGCAGTGTCAGTCGTTCATGATTTGCCACCATTTGGTAACATCATCTTGCTATTGCCACATCACTTCTTTGGGATCAGATGCTTCAACCTACCTATCAATGCAGCCATCTGTACAATCACAGGAGTCAACAAACATGCTGGAGAAATTGTTGAGATAATATCCACGTGGCCATGATGCCCTCCGATATTTAAAATAGGGTAATCTCGCACGATCAATATTGTTTGAGAAGGAAATAGGCACAGACTCGGCTCCATTGCTAATGTCAAACTCGAACACAAGCGGGTTGGGATTTACAGTATTCCGGCTTAACAGTACGTATGTGTTGAAAGAGAAGTGATCAACAAACAAGAAATTGCACTCTGTTTCAAACAAGTAACGCTGCACGTCTTGAAAGCTTTTCAGACTCCTTCCACAGGGAGCTCTGTAATTCACATCCAATGATTTTGAGAGGCAGTCAGCTTTTGCATGTCGTCTTTGGAAGTGAAACAGAACCGGTATCTTAAGAGGATTTTCACCCTTGTAGGAGTTCAGTGGTCTCTTGGCAAGACAGGCACTAGAGCACTCGTGACTCCGATACTGCAGTTTTAGAGGTAACTTTTTTACTTCACTAAGTGCTTCATCATTCTCTGAATCTGATTTCTCCTTCTGCTCCTTTTTGCTATTTGGAATAATAAATAACATCAAAAAAAAAAAAAAAAAGGAAAACAGCATCTCAGATAACCAGTAAAGCACTCAATCTTTTAGTTGTTCAACTACTACTAGTATAGGAAAGAATCAGTCCACTGCTAAAAGGCCAAAGGCTTCAACGAATTACTGTTTGCACTGTGTTACTATCCTGACACCGTATGGAAGTATTCACAAAGTATTCACATGCAAGATAAATGGCCTGTGAAGAACTCACATAAAAATATACAAATTTTATTCTTATATACAAATGATATCTTTGCCCTCCTTTTTCAAGTCAGTAGCTGAGGTATGGAGAGACACTTGCCCAACAGCCACAGAGTCTGCGAAAGACCTGAGAACTGAACTCAGAAGTTTAAAGCTGTGGCCTGTCCTCCCCATTCTGCCCCAATAATCTGGGTAGTATTTGTTGATCTCTGTTTACAGACCAACGCTCTGCTTTATTCTGCTGTGTTCTCAAATGGCAGATCTGAATCAAGTCTACTCAAAAACTCAGGCTTTCCTCATAGGCCACTTAAAAATCTTTCTCCTTGAAAAACATCAGTTTTCAAAGCAAGGTTTAAAACCATAAATGAAAATATATTAGAGAGAGCCAATAACTCTCTTTCGTACAATAAAGATTATGTTAAACAGCAAATTTTGCTAAATGGGAATAAAAGTGTGAAATAAATACACTAACCTATGACAGCTTTCTACTGAGTTTTCGGCATTGTTATCTCTAAGCACAGCTTGCTGTTTGGGCTCGTTTTCCTGTATATCATGTCCATCAAATACATTACTCACTGAAAAAAATGGGAATACAAGCAAAAAACTTAAGCAATCCACATTCGATTTATAATTGAAGGTAAGCACAGCCTGCTGTTTGGGCTCATTTTCCTGTATATCGTGCCCATCAAATACATTACTCCCTGAAAAAAAATGGGAATACAAGCAAAAAATTTAGGCAATCCACATTCGATTTATAATTGAAGCTACTTTATTTACTAAACAGGTACTGTCAAAATACACTAAAGACAACGCACCACTGAACCACAGCTAACAACATACTGACAAAGTTCTCTACTGTAAAGCAGCTACGACTTAAAACCTACAGAAAAGCCATTTGTTTGCATATAGATGTGCAAGCAAGAGAGTCTCTCAGTGTGTTTGTCCCTCGATAAGCTCTCCCATGTAGCTTCTAAGTTTGTCCATATTGTTGTTATGAAAGTGCACAGAAACAATGCATGCATGACAGATTTCTCTTCCTAGATTTCTCTTCATTATCTGACGTAAAAAGAGGCCATGGTTTTGCATTAGTGGAGTCATCCCACAGAACATGCACTTTGGAAAATCTGGAGAGAAAGGAGACACACACAAGCCAACCCTGCTTGCAGATAGCTCAGGTTCATCAAGGGTTATTAACCCAAATTCTATCTTCACTAGGTAAAACTAGATAAAAACCACACAGGGGCATGTACATCACAAAAGTGAATACTCATATAAGAGTGACCAGTGCAGAGGACCTGAGGAAACTAATAATTGCTTTTTTTTCCAGATCTATATTACTGTTTTCAGTTAAAGGAAATAAACTCCTGCTGAGTAAAGCAAAATAAATTAGAGCCACATATTGACTAAATACAGTCAAGATGCTCATACCTTTTGTTGAGGTTAAGAGATCACTTAGATTAGCTTGATTCACCAGAGTCCATGCCTGGCAGCAATCTACATAAAAGAGTAGAAATATGACGTTTAAGTAATGACAATAAGGACAATGATAAAAGGAACCACTAAAAGCTTGGGACCTCCTAAAAACATCTTTCTCCACTGTGCTAGTCTGCAATCATGTAACACTCAGGTTGTCAGCAACCTTTTACACCTCAGTCCATAACAGACTCATCTAGGATTCACAGTAAAAATTATAGCTCACTTTAGGAATTGTGAATCAGCATTGAACATCCTCTGGCTTTCAGAAAGCTTCTGGAATACAGTTTCCAAATGCACACAGTCTGGCAGCCTCCAAACTTAGTAAGGTATGAAAATAAAATAAAATAAAATAAAATAAAATAAAATAAGTCAGTTCTGTCTTGAGGTAGTTCCCCATGCAATAAACATCATAAAGGAACAGCCAAACACCAGTAAAATCTCTGTTAATATTTTAGTCCGAAATCTTCACAGAACAGATCACTGAGAAACTTTACATTTAGGTATATCACAGATCCATTCCATTATCGGGGAGTTCAGGTTCAATTTTTAGCTATGCACTGCTGTAATACTTTGTCATAAAAGCAAGATGTGGGAGCTTAATCACACACACAAAAAACCTGCGTTATTAAAATTAGCAGTATAACAGTGTGTAGCTATACTAGTTAAAAAACATCTTACACTTCTGTACATTTTCCTGCACCCAAAAAGCACTAAGATGAATAGATTACACCTACATGTATAACTGAGTAAAAAGTCATATATCTAAATTAATCAAATTGATAAAGAGGAACAAGCGCAATTCTTCAGGCCCATGAAACTTCTGATCTTAACACAAATAAGGGAAACAAATTTCAGTGTTTAATCAACACTGATCTTATAACACATTTCTGTCAGATTTTCCCAGTGGAGTTTCAAGTTATATTGCTGTCTCCAAAGTTAAATAGAACCTCATGACATCCATACAAAATCATTCAAGTAACTGAGATCATCTTGAAAAGCTAAAACTTTTGAAGATTAAACAAAAGCAAGGCACTTCAATCACTTCTCAGGAATAAACTTTTCACTTCGCTGAAAATATATAAGGATAAAAAGTGAAAATGGCAAAATACACCTGAAACAGCCTGTTTCTGCTTATTTTAATAACCAATGATGACCTTTAAAACAACTTCTGACAAGAATGAAAAAACATCTGGCAGCTGGACAGGCAAAAGCAGCGAAGAATTTGAAACAATCTGTTTAGCTCAGGGATAAGCAGGGTCCATCCACTATTTATGAAGAATTACAGAAGTAACTAACATGACCATGCATAATTGATTGCATGGGTTACTGTGGCAGAGCCTATGTTCCTTTTCAGACATGTAAAATGTCTGTGTCTAGAAGCACAGCTTAAGTATTTTGTATTTATCCAAACATAAGATTTAGTAGCAGCAGTTTTGCTGCACCCAGTTGTACTATAGATTATATACTATGTTTAAAGGAACAAACAAGCAAGCAAGCAAACAAATAAACAAAAAGCCCCCCAGATGATTCCTCAGACACCTTGGCACTTTTTATTTATCTGCTCGGGTCTCTCTTATTTTATTTTATTTTGAGGTGAGGACAGTTGTAATCAAGCCATACTTCTCTATATTGCATTGAGGTTGAGTTACCTTCTTGAGTTATGATCATAGAATGCTTAGGGTTGGAAGGGACCTCAGCAGGTCATCTACTCCAATCCCCCTACACACGCAGGGTCACCTAGAGCACGTGGCACAGGACTGCATCCAAGCAGGTTTGGAAGATCTCCAGAGAAGGAGACTCCACAACCTCTCCTGGCAACCTGTTTCAGGGCTCTGTTACCCTCACTGTTAAAAAATTTTTCCTTAAGTTCCTGTGGAACTTTCGATGCTTCAGTTTCTGGTCATTACCTCTAGTTCTGTCAGTGGCCACCAGTGAAGAGAGGCTGGACACTCCTCCTCACTCCCTCCCTTGAGGTATTTATTTATGTGCACTGATCAGGTCCCCTCTCAGCCTTCTCTTCTTCAAGCTGAACAGGCCCAGCTATCTTAGTCTCTCCTCACAGGGCAGATGTTCCAGGACCCTGATCATCCTTGTAAAATGATCCTAAAAAGGAAGCTGCAGCAGAAGCTGGCAGTTATCTCTGTTCAAGAATGTAATCTACTAAATAATTTAAACAGAGAGATATCTGAATGGTGGCAAATATCATACAGACTGATATAAAGTAGGCTATACCTTGATCCCAGTCCTGCTCAATTATTGCAATGATTTCAAACCTTGGTTTGTGGCAGTTCCATCCTTGATCTTTTGCTTCAGCAACAGCAGCACCTTTTGCACCTGCTCAAATATAAAGTCCACTCTTCTGTCTTCCATTTGTGTCCAAAATGTCTTCAGATCACCTGAAATTAAAAATTCCATTTACAAGTCTGTGCAGCTTTCCTGGAGCCTAGGCATACAATAGCTCTGGGTAGACTTTTTAAAGGTTCACACTCATTTCAACAATCAGTGGCTGGGCCTTCTGAAAGATCAGTCAGGACACTATTTTTTTTTAGGCTAACACCTTTAAAAATCAATTCCTAAACCTAATCAGAAAAATGAAAGAGAAGTTAAGTGATGAGCTGGGATGGTTTCTGATGGTCCATCAATATCCTTGAAATTGTTGCTAATGTAAGACTGATGTAAGGGTTGTTGTGGGCGCCTTTCTCCAAATACTGACAGATTAGTCCCACTAGAAATTAATCAGCGCGAAACTCACATATATATTTTCACCTGAATGAACTCAACATACTATCAGACAAAACACATTGGAAAATTTTAATAGCCATATTATCCTTCAACCATGTAAGCTGACTGCTCTGTCCTGTGTTTTTTTTTAAGTATGTTTTCCAGTGAAGACAATGTTAAAAATATTTTCAGATAAAAGCAGTTTTGTGGATTTTCTTTACCAAATGCTGTCAGATATAGTAATTTATATGACCTTCACGACACATCTTCTTCCTTCACTAGGCGGTATTTATAAAGAATATATTTGGTTAAAGAGCTTTTTTCTAAAACAAACAAACAAAAAAACCCCACTTCCCCAGACATTACCTTCAAGAGTCTTTTCAGTAGAACTGGTGAGGTTCTCCACTTTAAGGCACTCCGGCAGCACTGCAGGGGGTGCAGAATAGAAACCACCAAGGAAATGAAAAAGTGTATAGCTATGTAGTTTTCCTAAACATCTACAAGTAAATATCTACAGCAGGTATCAGTGACGGCTCTTGGTGAAACAGCACTGCAGTGAGCACTCACTCCACTTTCAAAGACCCACAGAAGACACACATCTGGCAGAGCAGTCTTGTTAAGGCCCAACAAAACAACACTTGAAATAAGACATGGAAGCAAATACATATATAAAGATACATATATATATATATATAGTTTATACGTACAGTACAAAGAGAATTTCTTAGTATACCAAAAGCAGAAGGCTTTCATGAGATGACCCACACCTTCCCACATGTCAGTTGAGGCTATATAATCTTATATTTTTCAATAAAAGCAAACAAACAAACAAAAAGCAGCAAAGAGAGCTGTAGTGAAACTAAACTAATTTAACTAGGAAGAAGTAAAGGCTTTGCTACAGAAAAAAAAAAACTGAGTCTCACACAGCACACGCCAAAGCACGTATTTGGCTTTAACTGAGTTACTTGGTGTTTTCAGGGGCGGTATAACCTGCTTTGCCCCATTCTGGCACGGGAATTTCGCCCTGGGAGAAGGGACTAAGTGACGGCTGCCGAATCGTAGAAGGGTTTCTGCCTGCTGTCCCAAGCATCTTATTTATTTGCATGTTTCTTTATGTTTAGGCTTACTTCTCTGCGCCTCCATGCTGCGGGGCGGCTGCGCGTGAGGCCGCTCCGCTCCTGCCTCGCCGGGTGC